TTTGGGGAAGAATGAGATCAAAATCAAAGGGTATAACATTATGATGGGTCGTTTTTTTTTTTTTTTTTTTTTTGCTGTGCTGGCTTGAAATGATTTGCAAATTAATTTGAAATTAAATTTGTTAATTAATGAAATTGAAATTTGAACAGAAATATTAAAAAAAAATGATAAATGTTTGTGATTATTCTTACGTCACCATATTGTGCGAAACCAAATTGCTATCTGTTTATCATGATTTGTGAATTGAAAAACTTATCTGTTTTGGTTCAAAACGTCAGGTTTGAGCAAAACAGATACTTGACTGAAAGGAAATCGTGTTTCGCTTCAGATGTTTTTGTGTGGTGTTGACCGCTGTCCATCGTTAGGTCTTCGACTTGCTCAGATGTTTGGACCGTTCAAAAGGACCAAAAACTTATGGCCTTTGTCTTAGAACCTTTACCTCGGATCGTCAGAGGCTTGTCACACAACATGTTTGTGATATTTTCTGGTCACGAGACGGTTCAAAATGTTGTCAAATTTTTTTGATTGTTCATGTTGAACGAAATTTTTTTTTTTGGATTTTGACTGTTTGAGAGATAGTGGGTGGTCTGATCTGGATAAGAAAAATTTTTAATCTTTTTTGGTTTTGACCATTTGAAGGATGGTGGGTGATCTGATTTCCTTTTGGAGAAAACAATAAAATTGTTTTGATTAATGAAAAATTTCCTTTCTGGAAAACAAATAAACGTGTTGATCGGTTAAGAAAAAAAAGCTTAGTTGATTTTTTTTAAACAATTGAAATTTTTGATACTTGCATGAAGCTTATTCTTTTATGGTGATGTTCGATCAAATTGATCTTTGATCTGAGATAAAAATAAATGAACACGAGGAAAAGATCAGGACAAAAATTTTAAACAATCGAAATTTGCAAATGGTTTTTGATTCACATTAGGGTTCTTCTTTGCGAAGTATCTTGCATGAAGCTTATTCTTTTATGGTGATGTAGGCTTGAAAAAACATCTGTTCGATCAAATTGATCTTTGATCTGAGATAAAAATAAATGAACACGAGGAAAAGATCAGGACAAAAATTTTAAACAATCGAAATTTGCAAATGGTTTTTGATTCACATTAGGGTTCTTCTTTGCGAAGTATCTTGCATGAAGCTTATTCTTTTATGGTGATGTAGGCTTGAAAAAACATCTGTTCGATCAAATTGATCTTTGATCTGAGATAAAAATAAATGAACATGAGGAAAAGATCAGGACAAAAGATTTTAAACAATCGAAATTCGCAAATGGTTTTTGATTCACATGAGGGTTCTTCTTTGCGAAGTATCTT